CTATATATATATATATATATATATATATATATATATATATAAGAATTTTTCAAAGTTCATATCACCTTTAATCACCCATCAGATCAATTTCATTAAAAATGGTGGATTTACATGTAATGCATGATGCGCAACAAAATATAGAAATTTTTAAAAATAATAATAATAATAATTAGTCCTTTACTACACTTAAAGCATGAAAATTTTGTCGTACAAATTAGGAAAATCGATGTTAAGTATCCCTTACATTAAGAGTATATTTAGTATTTCAATTTTATAATTCTCTATATATCGCATTGAGCTCGAATTCTATGTGCCCATGCATCGCACCGTGATGCAAATATGAAAAGAATTAAATAAAAATAAATGGTGATGTATCTAATGATGTAATCACATTTGTATAATTTATTAATAAAAAAGTAAATACCATTCGTCAAAAAAAAAAAAAAAATTTGAGGAGGTGAACTTATTTTATTTAACAAAAATTGGTACTACGCCTAAAAGAATCTATTAGTGACCTAGAAACACTCTCTCTCTCTCTCTCTCTCCATGTGTGCATTTGCTTATATGGTTAGAACTTGAGAAATATAATTCTCTATGCATATGAATGCAAGCGCATTTACTTATATGGTTAGAACTTAGAACGTAAGAATTGCAAATATTCTAATTTTACACAAATATTTTAAGCTCATAAACACTGGCATGTCATAGTCTATTTATAATTTTATATTATATTTATAAACAATTAATTAAAAGTCAATGTTTGATATTTTAATGATCAGAGTAATTTTGAACACCTACTTTTTAAATAATATGTTTGAGGCCCTAAATAATCAAAATAAGGTGCACCTTCAAATTGTGTTGAAAGATGATGTTTTAATATTAGAAATATTGGTGATAGCTTAAAATTTTATTTTCATCTCTAATTATAAGATTTAGTACTCCAAAAAAAGTGTAGATCAAACAGATCTATAAACGCTAGAAAATTGATAGTTCAGAAAATACATTACAAGATGCACTATTTCCATGACTTGAAATCTATTTTTTCTTATGTTCATACATCTTAACGGGGAGATGATCGATTTGAAGACTTTTGGGCATCGAAACAACCTCTTCTTGTGAATTTTTGAGGTGCGTCTTAATTTGATTGTTTAAAACCTCACCCTTATATAAACTTTTTCCTTTAAAGATTTCTTTATTTTGGGCTTACCTAGTAATTTAATCACCTGAAGTACTCGATAGATAATTGAAAATGTGCGTTACCGTATGTAGATTAGAAATAATTGTAATTCAAAAGGATTAGTATCAGACCACATTTCATAGTTAATTTTGATAACATTATATTGTACAGACAATATGTTTTTAAAATGTGGTTTTAATTTTATAATTTAAATGAGTTTTATATACATTAGATCTTTTTTTATTCAATGCTAAATTAGAATTTTTGTTAATAAGAAATCATAAAATTTAATGTGTCTCACATTTGAGTGAAAAATTGATTTTCAAGACTATAAAACTATAAATTTTTATTATTTTTATATAACATATAAAAATTAATTAGAAATTAATTGAAACTAACCAATACCCAATTAACTAAATGAAATACAAAATGTAATGTTTGTTAAATTTAAAATTTAAATGTCGGTATGGTCAATAATTAGGGGTGTGTTTTGTATAGAGTCTAGGCTCTAAACAATCAAATTAGAGCCTATCTTCAAATAGTGTTGAGAAATGTGGTTTCAATACTAGAAGTCTTTGTGATAGCCTTAAAATATATTTTCATATTTATTTATAAAGTTTAAAGTTTCAAAAATAGTGTACATCGATAGATCTATTAAACTTGAAAATCTTGAAAATTGACAGTTCAAATATGCGTTACAAAATACAATATTTCAAAAACTTGAAAGCCATTTTCTCACATGCCCATGCATCTTGATGTCGATGGGATCAATTTAAAGATATTTGGGCACCAAAACAACTTCTTCTAATGAAATTTTTGATATAAGCTCTAATTTGATTGTTTAGAGCATCGACTCTATATAAACTTATCCCGTTAGTATATTATAAAAATAATTAATTCAATTTAAAATAATATTTTATAGTCGCGATTCGATTTAATATTGTAATAGTGAGAGTATTTTTGGCTACTTATTTTTTATTACTTTTGATTCCAAAAGCACAATTGGGAATTTAATGCAAACTCCCAAAGTGTCGTGCAGGCTATTGAAAA